TGCCCCAGTGCCAGCCATGCCTTCCCCTACTACACCTACCTCTATCCTGGGCATGTGCCTGGCCTCTGTGCCAGACACTGTGGGTGAGAGAGGCAGTGTCAACTGCTGGGGGTTTGTATGGCTGAGCCTGGGCAGGCTGGGTGCAATGCAGGCAGGGGCTCAGCTCTCTCCTTGGCCCACCTGATCCACGGCCGAGCCTCCATTTGCGTTGCACTGAGCTTGCCGGAGCTGAACCATGCAGAGCCCCTGGGAGCTGATGTCACCTCTCCTAGCCACAGTGTCTGGCCCAGAGACCAGGCACTTGCCCAGGATGGAGATGGGTGGAGCAGTGAAAGCCATGCTGGGTGCTGGGGGGCAGATGCAGTCCCAGCCTGCCTGCTGTCCCAGGTGGGAGTCCCAGCGTGGGCTTCTAAGGGCGCCTGAATCCTGTTCAGGCAGCAAGGCTGCAGGGCCGCATTGTCTGGCCTGCAAATCCACTCCAAGGGAGAGGTGTGGGGGAGATGCTAGGAAAGTGGGGGAGCCTCCCCATGCTGCATGGCCCCCTTCCCATGCAGAACAGCATCCACCGCATCCAGATAGTGGAGCTCCAGACTGCGGTGCAGAGGCTGCGTTCCATCAGGGATGGCGAACAGAAGATTGACTCCTAATGCCGGGCCCTTCACCCCAGGACAGAAGAGTGACCTAGGTCGCCTGCCAGGACCAGGAAGGCCAAGAGGCACTCCCACACTGTCCAGCCATGGGGCTGGAAAAAGGTTGTCTCTGGCCTCAAGGCTCACTGTACCAGGGTCACCACCTCCCTGGATCTCTGCAACAGGTATGAACCTCTTGCAGCACCAGTAGAGCCTAAAGAGCTGCCAGCTACTGCAAGTGATAAAGAAACATGACCAGGTATCATCCCTAAGATGAAATGCAGGGTGGTCATTGTGGGTGATTCCCTCCTGAGGGGAACAGAGGGAGCGATCTGTCACCTTGACCTCTTAGCCTAGGGGGTCTGCTGCCTCCTGGGAGCCCATATCTGGGATGTAGCTGAAAGGATCCCAAAACTTATCCAGACTTCCAACCACTACCCTATGTTCCTTATCCATGTGGACAGAAATGACACGGCTCGGAGCAATCCCAACCAGGTCCTGATTGGCTATAGGTCTCTGGGAGCAGGGCTCAGGGGATTGGGAGTGCAGGTGTTTTTTTCCTCGATCCTTCCAGTTATGGGTCATGGGCAGAGGAGGGAGAGACAAATCAAGGCAGTAAACAGAAGACTACGGTGCTGGTGCCAACGTGAAGGCTTCGGCTTCTACAACCACAGTCTGCTCTTCAGAGAGAGAGGCAGTGGTCTGTTGGGAAGAGATGGCTTCCACCTCACTCTGCTGGGGAAGAAGCTCTTCTCAGCCAGAATGGCTGACTTCCTCAACCGGGCTTTAAACTAAGCTTGCCAGGGATGGGCGGACAGCTACCAGAGCAAGCTCACCAAGCATCGTTAGGATACTCAAGGGAACCCACTCCTGCCCCAGCCCATGAACAGAGCTTCTCCATGAGTACAAGGAAGCCTAGGGCCTCCAACGGCACACTTACAGCCTGTACACTAATGCTAGGAGTTTGGTGAACAAACAGGATGAACCGGTCCTTCTGCTAAACAGAAATGACTATGATCTCCTAGGGATCACGGAGACCTGGTGGGACTCCTCCTATGACTGGACTACCAGTATAAATGGTTATACCCTGTATAGGAGAGATCATGCCAAAAAAAGGGGTGGGGGTGTAGCTCTCTATGTGAAGGACAGCTACACGTCCCTATGAGCTGAGATTGGCACCCAAGAAGGAAGACTGGAGACCCTTTGGGTTAGAATATGAGGGGAATGTAGTGAAGGGAATACAATGGTAGGAGTCTACTACAGACCTCTAAACTGGGAACAAGTGCTTGACCAAGAATTTGCCAGGGAACTGGCCAAGGCTGCGCGCTCTCGGTGTATGGTCGTCATGGAAGACTTCAACTATCTGGACATCTCATGGGATGAGCAACAGGCCAAATCTGATTGGTCACAAAGCTTCTTTACATGTGTGGATGAGCTCTAAGGGAAGTTGGGTGACAGTGACCACAAGATGGTCACTTTCACTATCCATTGCAAACCTGGCAAGTCAGCCAGCAATGCAGTGGTCCTTGACTTTAGGAAAGCTGACTTTCATAAGCTCAGGAGGATTGTTCTTGAGGTCCTGAGAGGCCATGATTTCACAGGGAGGGGAGTTCATGATGAGTGGTTGCTCCTTAAGGAAGTGATCCTAGAAGCACAAGAATCCATCCCCACCCATAGGAAAGGTGATAAAAGGGCTCAACAACCCTCTTGGCTCAACAGAGAACTCACGGACCTCTTATGTCTAAAAAGAGAGGTGTATAATGGATGGAGGACAGGAAACACCACTAAGGAGCAGTATACTGCACTGGTCCACACCTGCAGGGAGCAAACTAGAAAAGCCAAGGCTGCAACTGAACTCCATGTGGCTACATGAATCAAGGACAATAAAAAGTCCTTCTTCAGATATGTGGGGAGTTGAAAGAAAAACAAAGGCAATGTTGGACCCCTGTTAAACCAGCTGGGGCAGCTGACTACCAACACCCAGGAAAAAGCCAATCTGCTTAATGATCACTTTGCGTCGGTTTTTCACCAGCCCAAAGGGACCACCCTGCCTCACATGATGTGGGATGACCGGGTTGAAGATGAATATATGCCCACCATTGGCGTGGATCTTGTGAGGGAGCATCTTGAGAGGCTGGACCCCCATAAATCCACTGGTCCGGATAGGTTACACCCAAGAGTGCTAAAAGAACTGGCAGACATCATAGCGCAGCCACTGATGAGGTTATTCAAGAACTTGTGGCGCTTGGGCGAAGTACCCGAAGATTGGAAGAGGGCCAATGTGGTGCCAATCTTCAAGAAAGACAGGAAAGAAGACCGGGGAAACTATAGGCCAATCAGTTTGACCTCAATCCCTGGGAAGATTTTGGAAAAAATTATCAGTGAAACCATTCTTGACAGGTTAACAGAAGGCAACATTCTGAGGGATAGCCAGCATGGGTTTGTTGTGGGTATGTCTTGCCTGACCAATCTCATTTCCTTCTATGACCAGGTGACCTATCACCTGGACAACAGGGAAGAGGTTGATGTAATATATTTGGTAGAGAGTGGTAGTTGACGGAATGGAATCAGCATGGCACTCAGTGACCAGTGGTGTCCGCCAAGGCTCCATTCTTGGACTTGTACTCTTTAGCATCTTCATAAGCGATCTGGACACTGGTGTCAAAAGCAGACTGGCCAAGTTCATTGATGATACCACACTTTGGGGAAGAGTCTCTACATTTGAGGATAGGCTGGTGATCCAGGCTAACCTCAGTAGGCTTGCAAGGTGGGCGGGTGAAAACCTGATGGCATTCAATGTGGAGAAATGCAAGGTGCTCCACCTCAGGGAAAAAATCCCCACATCACAGTCATAGGCTCGGCAATGCTACACTTGGTAGCACCACAACCGAAAGAGACTTGGTGGTCATGATTGACCACGAGATGAATATGAGCCACAAATGCGATACCGCAGGTGGCAAAGCGAACAAAACTCTGGCTTGCATCTACTGATGCATCTTGAGCAAGACCCAGGAAGTCATCCTCCTGCTGTACTCTGCCGTGGTGAGGTCACAGCTGGAGTACTGCATCCAGTTCTGGGCTCCACAATTTAGGAAGGATGTGGAGAAGCTTGAAAGAGTCCAGAGGAGAGCCACACACATGATCAGAGGGCAAGAGAATAGGCCTTATGAAGAGATGCTACAAGCTATGGGACTCTTCAGCCTGGAGAAGTGCAGGATCAGGGGTGACTTGGTGGCAGCCTACAAGTACATAAGGGGTGTGCATCAGGATCTGGGGGGAACACCTGTTCATCAGAGCACCCCAAGGGATGACAAGGTCCAACGGTCAGAAACTCCTGCAAGACCGTTTCAGGCGGGACATATGGAACAACTTCTTTACTGTCCGAGCCCCCAAGGACTGGAACAAACTCCACCCAGAGGTGGTGCAAGGACCTACTCTGGACACTTTCAAGAAACATTTGAACGTTTATCTTACTGGGATCCTTTGACCCTACCTGACTTCCTGTCCCTTGGGCAGGGGGCTGGACCCGATGATCTTATAAGGTCCCTTCCAGCCCTAATGTCTATGAAATCTATGAAATTAAATACTTCTAGGACACTTTCTGCCAAAAAACAGAATGTGGATTTCATGGAGAATGTGCTCTTCTACTGTTTACTAGTCAGTGTCATGAAAGGGAATGCATGCTTGTTCCAGGGCAAAAGTATGATGCAGCATAATTAAATCTTCTCTTTACCAGATTGTTCTTAATTTATATATATGGGGCACATGGAAATTCTCTTAACAAGAGATTAAAAATCAAAGCCATCCTAACTAGCAGCATGCCCAGGATTGCATAGGCTTTGTGAGAGATGTGCTTGTTTTGTTCCTACTTGACAGAACTTAAAACACAATCCTCACACTGCTTTCTGATAATGAGAACATAAGCCCTCTAGGTATTCCAGAGCAGAGAATTCAGAGAGTACTTAGCAGCAGCAGATGCCACAGGCAAAGAAACATTCTTATCTCTATGACCTGTGAAACCTGAGACTTGAAATCCACACTATCAGAAGTCAATGCTGATTAAAATGGACCCACAAGAGCTTGACAGAGGACAATAATTGGTTCAGAAAAGCTCAATACCAGCTGGATGTGGATGGCAAGGATAGTTTACAGCTATGTTTCTCCATATTACTCTCTGCAGGCAGCATAATTTGCTATTTGCAGAAGATTAAAGGGAGTGAGAAATTATAAAGACAAGTGCCTTGGAATCATTAGCACTTGCATGCCACTACTACATCTATGACCATCATGGGTAAAACATCATTATGGAAATCCTTTATGTTAGAAGATGGAGACATGTTGCTAAGAAACCAACTTACATATTTCCACTGGTATCTTTTTCAGAAAATAATTAATTAGATTATTCTCTTACATTTTTGTTTCCAAGATACAGGACAAATCTGTCTGGAGACACTGCCAGCTGTGGGTGGTTTTGCTGAAGTTTCACGTACAAGCTCATGGAGGTGAAAGCCTTGAGTTCTTCTACGTTGGTCTTTGGATTGACTTCCACAGCTGACTGGCCTTCAAACTTCATAGACACTTGTACCTACAGTTATAAATGTTTTGTGTTAGGTGCATTGTTTCTGTTTGGGGATATTGCTCAATCATAGGTGAATCTAGGATTTTGAAAAGAGAAATGTGGCAGAGGCAGCTGGAACTCTAGAGGCTGTGACAACCCCCCTGGGTCCCTCCCTTGTCCCCTGCCCCTGCCCCATCTTGATTTGACCCATGGCTACTGCCAGCTTGAGCTACTCTGTCCAGAGCTGCATAGTGCTCAGGCTGGAGTTGAAAGTCCCTATGTCCCTTACTGGCCTGAGACCTCCAACCCCGCCCCAGCTGCCTTCTCTTCCCTCCTGCCAAGCCAGCTCTCATCTCAGCCACACGGCTGCTTCCCAGCCTGGCCATGGTTCAAGCGGGGTGTGGGGGTCAGCAAAAGGCAGAGAGCATCAAAAGCAAAGTGTGCTGCCCTCTCTCCACCCTCCCTCGTGCATCTGCCCATTGGGCTCAGACAGGGACTGCTAGGTGGAGAGCAGTGGAGCCACAGGATTGTTCTGGCTTGGCCTCAGCCTGGGCCTAGGCCTTGTACACACAGTCTCATGCTCCATAGACCTCCCCAATTCAGAGAGTGGAGTCTGGAGAGTGAGCAGGTACAGGAAGGGACATTCGCCCACCGCTGCCGCTGTCCCCAGCCAAATCCAGCACTGAACAGCAGCTCCCTACAGTCCCTGGCTGGAGTAGCCCTAGGTCTTGCCCTGGCCCTGAGTCAGTCAAGCACTGTGATAGCAGTGGATCCCTCCTTCCTGCTACTGCTCCCTGTCTGCCCCTCCTCCCCCCCAGTTTCCACCATTGACCTGGGGAAAGGGGCTCAGTCTGGGGGTCAGTGGAGGATAAGCCTCTTCCTTATTCCCTGTAGGGCAGCCACAGAATCACAGCAGAAGCTTGGGGCATGCTGCAGCTAGTGGAGCCCTTTCCCAGCAACTCTTACCTGCAGCTCTCACATCTCTCTGTGTGTTGGGGTGCAGAAAGTCTGCCACCACTGCTCTCCCCACCCCCACCACACCCTATGCAGCCACTCCCTGAAAATTCTGGCTGGAGCAGGGCAGAAGCAGCCTGGAGGCTCTGCACACCTTGGGTCAACTGGGGACAGCAGTAGTGATGAGTTGGTCCCTACCTCCTGCTGTTGCTCCCTGACTGCCTACCCAATGTCCTCCAACACTCTGGGGCTGCCAGTCATGCCTCACCCCCCCATTTCCTCTATGGTCCAAACTGAGTTCCTTCCCAGATTGTTGGAGAGCCAGAAGTTCAGGGCTCCACACATCTGAAGCTATCAACACATCCAGCATGTCTCCTGGACACCTCAGTGAGCTACACAGTAGAAAGCAGGTGTGACTGGATCACCACCCCACTCCCTAAAACCCGCTCCTCTGTTCAAGGGAAATTTGCCAAAAGTGAATTTGTCCGCAGCTTCCCTTACTATTACTGACAAGAGTGGAATGTCTAAATCAACCCAAGTCAGTGTACCACATGAAAAAATTAAGAGAAAATACTGAAAGACACTTTTTTTACCCCTTTCATTAGAGCTCTTGTTCAACTGCATTTAAGTACATGCTTAACTTTAGCTTAGCTTTTATAGGACTTGCTCAGTTGAATCAGCACTAGTGCATAATAAACAGCCTGTATATCTTTAAAACTCCTTCCTAATACTTTGTTTTGAAAATAGCATGCCTGTTTCTCCTCTCACATGCTTGGATGTAAATCAGGAGAAAATCTATTGCAGTCAGTGCACTCCACTACAGTCTACATCACAATAAGGCTAGTATGAGTGCAATTTTCTATGGGTAATCATACCTAGATGCCTATAATTCAGGATACCTTTAAACATACTGTAAGCAGTGCTTTTAGATTTTAAGCACTATGCACTTTAAAGCTAAAATACATTTTATAGAGCAGTTAAATATTATATAGGTGCTGACTGAGTTTTGCCTTTTTGAACTAATGGGTATAGACAAAATACAACACCTATACACCTGTGTTTCTATACTAGATTCTTAGAAATCCTCCAAATGCAGCTAGACATATATCATTTTCCTTCTCAAAATCAACATTGTTCAATGGTGTTTACCAGCAAAAATGTTTACAATTTTGCTGTTACTAGTGATGAATATCAGTGTGGGAATGAGATTTCCCCATATTAAATATATATAAGATAAAGTCTTTCTTATGTAAAAAAAAATCTACTGCGAACTTGCAATGTTTGGCTTAAAAATGTCATGATTGCTGCTGCTTGTAATTTGTATTGGCAGCTGAGTAATGAAAAGCAGTAGATACCATTAGTTTCAGCTTTAAATGATTCTGCTACCCTGACCACCATTAACATGATGACAATTGCCTAATTAACATTACCACCATCTTTGTGGCTATGAATGCAATGGTAATGCTAATTTCTTGCAAATAGTCACTGTTAACATTGTAATGTTTACTGCTGTCCAGTGCTCATTCCGGCTGCTTGCAGATGTTAACCCCCCTGCACCTCCCCATGCTTTACAGGAAGAATCAGCATGAGCACCCGATCTTTACAGACATCAGGTGAACTGGGTTGAAATAACGTGCTGCCTCTTTTGGGTATACGCGGGGCTTGGCATGAGAATGCACTGAGTTTAAAGTAAAGCACTGTTTTTTTTGTTTTTATGTCTGCAGCGCCCTAAGTTACTAGGAAAAGATAACATATCAGGAATGTTCAGGGCTGCAATGTGGCAACCCTTTCACATATTCTTGTGACCCACTTTTGGGTTGTGACCCATGGCTTGAAAAATGCTGCCTTAGACCACAAGCTGAAAAACAATGATGTAAGTAAATACTTAATCAAAGAGTTTTACCTTGCTTGCTACGCTCCTAGTTTGAGCAATTAGTTCTCTGATCCGCTGAATGCTGGAAGAAATATTATTTGCTGGTGACTTTTGCTCTACCCTCCGTAGTTTATCCAGGAGCTGAGGGAAGACTTCTATTAGATTCTTCACTGCAAACAGAAAGGAAACACCATGTAATACTGGAGCTGACCAGTAGAACTCTGTTCTCCCTCCCTTCCTGCTCATTAGTATTTCTTTGCTTCATCTGCCATTTGCTTCTTGCCTTTAAAGGGCATGATCCTGCAAACTGCTTTGTATGGGTGGTCTTCTGCATCCATTCAGAACTCTACTGACTTCAAAGAGTCTGCTTGTAAGTGCAGGGACACACCGCATTGAGCAGCTTGCAGCTGGGGTTTCACAGGGCATCTCTGTGCCCTGGGTGGCAGTGGCTAGCAGGCTGTTAGTGGGGGCACAACTGACAGGCTATTGTACAGTTCCACCATCTGGTGGTCTCCTAGGACTTTTGCCCCCACTGGAGTGCAGGATCAATGCCTACTATTGCACAATTTTTTCAGAAGGGGCTGCTTTTGCACAACAGAGCTCTGATCTCTGGTAGTGTCTCTAGGTGTTACTGAGGTATGAACAACAAGAGCAACCTTTCATTTCTGGAACATCTTTCTTCTGGGTCTCCAAGGACCTTAAAATGTTAATGAATGTAACCTCACAGTATACTCATGGGGTAGCTATCCCCCATTGCACACACAGAGAAACTCAAGTCCCTGGAAAACTGTTAATGCAGGGTCATCTACCACCCTGATTTTCTGTGATTCAATTTTAAGGGTGAGACAATGGTGTGTTACAAAAATAGGTGTGTTCATGGTTTTTCAGGGACTTGACATAGTGTGGAACAGAATCACAGTTAGGTTCTTAAATCACTTAGATATCCAATAGGTGGAACAGAAACTGGCAGCTAGTGCCTACAAGATTCCTAGAGTCCACCTAAGTCCATGTGAGCAATTCACAAAAATTCTGCCTAATTGCAAGGCCAAGAATCCAGAGGCTCTTTGAGGGGACTCCCTTAAGCACTAGGATACAGTGTCATGTTCCCTTCTGCTTGTTCTTGTCCTGCCCCTGTGACTCTTACACTCATGCATGCATAGTATAGGTGTCAACACAATGACCCCAGTCTTGCATCTTGTCTAGGGGTCAGGGTGAGAGACGTGGGTTTGGAGGAACTAAGTCCAGGTTTCTCACTTTAGAGGGCCGGCTAACTAGTGAGCCATTTTGCAAAAGTCTGTCACCATCACCACAGTTTTTTAATTAAATTGATCATGGGTGTTGAACTTAGTGTGTATTAGATGTGCTCTAAGCATGCTTGCCTGTTCAGGACTGTGAGGAAAGGCAGATGCATTACCACCTCATTTATGAACCCTAAGTAGCCTTAGGTGGCATTTAGACACCTAAACACTGAGCCAAGATGACAGCAATTCTGAGTTTGTACAGCAGCTGAACAAAGTAATTTTTGGCTAAAGGCACCTACAGCACAGCCGCTTAGGTACCTAAGCACCTAGGCAGGAGTTTTGTGCTCACCTTTTGGAGCAGGTGAGAAAAGAGTAGCTCTTAAGAGGGTTCCCTCATTGGGACATTTGCATTCCAAGAGATGGAAAGCCTTATGCTAGCAGATAGGCAGACAGAAAAATTACGGAGAAAGAACAAATAAGAAAAACTAATTACAATCCAGTTTAATTACATTGGAGTCCAATGCGAGAGAAACATATCACAGCATTTCTCATCTTTAATTAAATGGATATTCAATGGGTTAGGTACAATTAAATGGGCTCTTAGCCACAAGTTGTATGCAAGTAAGACAGCGCAATTAATATTGATGTTGCATTCTTTAAGAACAATGGTTCAGTATAACTGATAAGAAGGAATTTGTGGCCTCTGTAATTTTACTTTGTGGATTGTGTATGGCACCCATCTGCTTTTTTCTTCAATTTGGCTTCTTTCCTTATTTCTGTATTATTAACAGTACTAATTTGTTAGGAGACAGACTCACAGGGTTCTGAGTTCACAAGGAAGGGAAGTGAAGCTATCTTTCTATTTGCCAAGTGCTTTGTTGGCTAGGGGTTAAAACCACTGCCAGCCTAACTCAGAACAACTCAGAAAACTACAATACCTGCTACAGTCCCATACAACATGTGTTGCTGGCTGAAGTTAGGTTGGAGTGCTATGTCTATGCCCAAGTCATGCCCCCTGAAGGGGTCTGCCCATTTTTGGCACATTCTCTATTACCCGCATTGTTGAGCTTTACACCATCCAAAGATTCCCTCGAGGGCAGATAAATCCTCAGCTATTGCTGTTTTACAAATTACAATATAACAATTAGCTTAAAAATGCTTTAGAAACTTCCTGCAACTTGAATATCATGCATCTGAAACTGAGAGCAGTCTCATGGCAAAGGGATCTACGTTTTTCATTTTTAGATCAGGAACCCAAACATTACTACCAAAGTTCAGCTCCTTATTTTAACAAGATGAGGTGGAATTGGACCTGAACTGATATCTTGAAAAATAAGACATAACCCACTGACATTTGAAATATCCAAGATATTAAATCTGAAAAATGGATATATAATGAAAACACCAAATTGACTTTTCTCATAGTGCTACTATTGGTAGTATTATGATAAACTCCCCATAAATCTCTTCCTTTTATCCTACAAAAATATTGATTTTTAGTCCTTGAGAGGTTGAGGGAACTAGGAAGAAAAGATTAAAAGATTCCTCTTAATGATGTCATTTGAGCTTGTTTATCTAGTAATAAAAAAAAAAATCTACCAGCGATTAAAAGGGATAACAGCAATATTGATACACCTCCCTCTCTTAAAACTATTCTTATCCTCTTTGTTTTGAAGCCTGTCTATTCTTTAAAACATGTGCAATGTAGGTAAAACCTGAGTGTTTCAGCAACATAAGCCAAATACTACAAAACCAGCACCATGGATTACAGATCTTCAGCATGCAATGCCATCTAAGCTAACACAAGAACTGGGCTATTTACATGTTTTTATATTAATTGCACATGCCCTTTTGTAACCTAGAACAAAACTGGTAGAATTAGTTTAGGTCTGCTTACTTTTACAAACTCTTTGTTAAAAAAAAGTCTTTCAATATGAGTGAGTTTGAACACATCAGTCACGCCATAAGTATCTAGTGACAAATTGGAAATGGAAGGTCAAATTTAGAGTGGGAACTATATACTCTGCTAAGCCAATACAGTAAATCACAGCAGGAGCCAGAAGGGGGCAGGCCTCTAACAAGAAGCCCTGTGGATGTCCATAATATGTCGATAACAATAGCTTACCAATCACACCAGGAATGACAATTTTTTATGTCATCCTTGAATTCAGTCTGGAGTCCTGAAACATGAGGTTAGTTACTGATGCAGTTTAGCTTTCCATCAAAAGATCGGCCAACAATAAGATCTTCTTTTTGGGCACTGTATACTCTGGAAGGCAACATGTATTGGCTGTAAATGAGGTTATCTATCCACAGGAAAGAATGGCTCAGTGTAGCACATGGAAGAAAACCTTGAGTAACCCCTGGCTCCAAGAAGGTCTGAGAGAGGAAAAGGAAGAAATCTAGATATTTAATATTATTACCTCTCTGGTGATAGAATATTTTTTGTGTCTTACTCCTTGGGAGAATGGTATTAACAGGCTTCCTGTCCCCAAGGGTAGGAATGGACCCCTACTCTGTTGGACTCTTCTTGCGTACTAAGCTCTGTCAATAATACCTGCTTTGGCTTGCCCTGGCCTACCAGGGGAGATTCTTGTGTAGCAGTGTTGGAGATTGCAATGAAACTTGAGAAGAGATATTACTACTTTTTGTAAATTTGCTCAAAGGGTGGAAATCAAGGAGGGAGAAGAACTATTTGAATTAAGGAACAAAATCAAATATATAAAAGTTGGTCATGCACAAATATAAACAGGGAAATTAGAATAAGGTTTCTAATGGAGGAATGACATTTTGGAATGGCCTTCCATGAAAAGGAATGGAGGCAGAACTCCTGAACTGCTTCAAGATGGAAGATTACATACAGACGGAGGTTTGGTTGGGGTGTGCTAGTGTTCCTGTCAACATTCAGAAACTGCCCAGATACTCAGCCAGTGAACCTTGCTTATGTATTTAGGGTCAAATTGACTGCCAGGTTTGGGGTTAGGAAGGATTTTTTTTTCCATCATGAGATTGGAAAGGATTATGGAGATTTTTGCCTCCCCCTGTAGCATAAGGTATGGCCCTATTCCTATGACCATTGGAACAGATATCAAACCAAACAAATTCTATGACAGTATAGGGAATTAGCAGCATATTTTTAACTAAAACAGTACTCCCAGTTATAGGTGTACAAAAGTGAGAACCACTTCATTATTTTCTTGCAGGGAGGGCTTCCCTTTCATGGGATATCTGTTCCCCATCTGTCTCCTATCTCCTTTAATTCCCTCCATTCAGGGCCCCTCTCTGCCCTTTCCTTTGTCTTTCTATTCAGCTGATCCCTTCCTAAAAACCCCTTATCTCCCTTATCCCCCAAATCATGAAACTATGTAAGATTGAGGAAGAGAGAAATGCCTGAATAGGGTCTGCTAGAGGTTCAGCTGGCCACTAAAGGAGAAACAGCTGCAAGACACCACTGAGGTCCTGAGGCTGCATTCTGTAGTTTTTATTCCAGATATTTTCTCCTCGATACTGACTGGCTATTTCTTTTACTCTTCCTCCCACTCTTCTTCTCCCAGCCTCTCTGCTTTAGCCTCACTTACATGCTTCCCTTTCTCTACCACCTTGAACTCCCCCCCTTCCAGGGCCTCTCTCTGCTTTTTCCTTTGTCTTCCTGTTCAACTGATCCTTTCCTACAAAAACCCCTCTCCCCCTTATCATCCAAATTATGAAACTAATGTGATATTTGCAGGCCAATCCATTTATTTATTGTCTTATATAAGTCTTTTCCCTCGCCTTTGTTCTTTTGCTTATTTAGACTCTAAGCTCTTCAGGCTGTGGGATGTTCCTCCTCTAATGTGCAGCACAATGGGGCCATGTTTTCTGTTGGCCTATAGATGCTACAAATAACAAGGTAACAAAATAGCAAGATGTATTTAAGAAGTAGTATAAAATGTTCAAAAGGCCTTCATCCAATTTTCAAAACTGACTTAAGCACTTATGAGCCTATGGTCCCTTGACTTTCAATAAGACTGAAGCTCCTAAGGGTGTATCTGCACTGCGTACCCCTGGCATGCCCATGGAAGATGGCCCTCAAACATGCTCTGTCCATCCATTTCTGCTCTCATGTGCCAAACATGGAAATTACATAGTAAAACAATGCACCCCCTGCTCTTGAGATCTATTGGACTCTTCTTTCTTACTAAGCTCTATGTTTGTGGGCAGATCTAGTATTTTAAAAAGTGGGGTACAGATGGTGTGGCACATCATCATATACAGAAGCAGGTCAATTTTCACCTTATAGACTAACCAAAGTAGATATATAGAGAGATACACAGACACACACAACAACAACAACGCATGTTTCTCCAGTTAAACAGAAATTAGAAATTTTACTAATATGACAGGGACCTAGCACTATATTATTCAGTTAAAGATCAAAGCAAAACCCAATATAACTTTATAGGAATTTACACTAATTTGACAGACTATATATTAAGTTTAAAAAACACAACAAAATAAGGCAAAAATACTAAAAAAATAGTGTTTCATTAATCCCGTAGTCATTATAGTTAAATGAACATCTCTTATTTGTAAAATTAATTCTAGCCTTCTTGAGTGTCTTAGTGCCTCCAGTACTTCACTGTCAGTCATGCATTCATCTGAGTTAGTATTAACATACCTGGGTTATTTTTTTTATCTAGAGCTAAAAACAGTCTGCACAGGTGTGAAATAGAAGACGGACATTACCCAGAATGGCTAACAGACTGCAAAATTTCAGAAGAAAGAATAGTTTGAATAGTGGAACTTCAAGACCTTTAAGGAGAGAGGGCCATTAATACCTGTCATAAAGAGAGATTAGCAGGGTTCAGATAGATTCCAATGAGCCATGAACTCAACTGACTACCTCACTGATGCCTGGATAGAAATGCTGCTGCCACTGCCAGGTAGTTTGTTTTAAAGTTTGGATGGAGCAAGAATCAAACAGGGGTGCAACTGCACCCTGTCCTGAGTCTTCCACTTGGTGTGCTTGACTGTGCATGGAGGGTGTCCCCAGGACAGCCTTACCACTGCATTTCAGGGTTTGGCATATACAAGGATAATGACATGGATCAAATGTGGTCCTCTCTATGAACACCAGGGATGCAGTTTAGGCATATTGTAAATGCTTAAAGGCATGCCTGCATTGCCTCTCTTGCAAGCCCGAGAATGCTGCTGAGAAGTAAACCCGACCTAATTACTCCCACTCAGTGTGAAACAAGGCCTGAAAATCAGGCAGTGTGGCTGGTTTAGTGTTGCCCTGAGGATGTGGCCAGAGCCACAAAGTGGTGAGTGGGGCATGCTTCTCAATGGTGGCACTTGGCTCTTCATACACGACATGTGGACATGCCTAAAGTCACTCTTGAAAATGCCCATCCACTCAACACTGTCAAGGAATCAAGTCTCTTTTTCAAGTAAGCACGAGTTAGTTGGGGATGGTCCTACTTTGAGCTGGGGAGTTGGATTAGATGACCTCCTGCGGTCCCTTCCAACCTTAATTTTCTATGATTCTATGATTAACTGGTAATTAAAATGATGTTCTAAAATGACAGAGAAGACTTCTCCTACTATATGCAGTGGATACAATCATTGATCTACCTATACCACATGATGAACACTTGCAGTACTAGCGTCAAGTAACACTAAAACTTATTGATGTACCATAATACAGAATGTTACCTGCATCCCCAGCTGAGTTCACAGCACTGTCATATGCAGCTGCATCATGTTCAAAGTTTTGAAGATCCTGAGACCATTTCTTCAAATTATTAGCCATTGGGTTTGTAGCTTCGGTTACTGTTGTGGCAGTATGTGATGCTTCATCAGCCATAAGTTTAGATTGGTCCAAGTGCTGTCTAGCATCTCCTACGTAAGAGAGAAAAAGCAATAATAAACCCAATTAGAGAAGTATAGTACCTATAATTAATGCCTCAGAAAGGGAAAACAAGATTAGTAAGAGGTATGCTTAAATAGTGCTGGAAACAGCCCATGGAGCTGTTTCACACTGGGCATGCCTACACATGCATTTGATCCAGGATTAGTTTACTTGCAAATAAACTACTTGCAAGCAAACACTCCTGGGGAGGGGGAGCTATTCCCTAATGGCAGCAAACTGCTCCCACTTCCTGGGACCCTGCAGTGGGCCCTTGCTGCCACCAGGGGGGAGCTCCCCTGGGTGCTAGCTTAGGGGCTGACAGGGAGCACCTAACCAGGAAACAGCTGTCTCCTGGCCAGGGCTGGGACTTCACACCCTGCTCACATGGGCTGTTTGCTGCCAGGGCAGGGACAATATCCCCCTGTCCTGGCAGCAAGGAGCTCCTGTCCTGGCTTCCCAATCAGGGGCAGGGAACTTGGAAAGAGCTGCAGGGAAGGGGCAAGCCTGAGTCCCCTGCCCCGATCTGTCTATGGGGCAGCTAGCTGGCAGCTAGCTCGCTGCTAGCTGCCCCACAGGCAGATTGAGGCAGGGGACCTACCCAACTCCTGCAGCTCTTTCCAAGCCCTGGGCCTCAATCACCCATTCAGGGCATGGGGTTGGGACCTGCCCCTGACCAGGACAGTTCCCAGTCCCTGTCCTGCATGCAGGGTGGAGACTGAGGAGCTTGTGCCCTGCTCAGCTCAGTGAGTGTGGAGCTGGGTGGGGAACAGGCTGGGGAACAAGCTGTGGAGCTTGATCCCTGCTCAGATCCATGAGTGCAGAGCTGCGTGGGGAACAGGATGGGGAGCTTGTTCCCTGCTCAGCTCTGTGAATTCGGAGCTGGGTGGGGAACAAGTTAGGGAACAAGCTCCTCAGCCTGTTCCCCACCTGTGGAGTTGAGTGAGGAACATGCTCCTCAGCCCCTGCCAGCAGAGAGCTCCCAGTGCTAGCTCCACACTTGGGGGCCAGAGCTAGGAGATCCTTATCTCCCAGTGCCAGATCCACGACCTCAGGGCTTGTTCTGGGAGATCCTTATCTCTCAGTGCCAGTTCTGTGGTTGCAGAGCCAATGCTGGGAGATAGGTTTCTCCCAGTCTCCCCTCCCTGATTGCCATCTCGGAGCAGGGAGTTGGAGCTCCCTGCTGCCGGGGCAGGGAGACATAGTCCTTGCATGGGGTTCTGGTGGCAGAGCCCGCCCCAGCAGCAGGCAGCTTCTAGGGGCAGAAAGCAATTTCCTACCCCCTGGTGGACAGCTGACCAGGAGCAGATTTGCTCCCAGTCGGGCGTCTACATAAGCACTACTGCACCGTTACTAATCAAAAGTAAATTTGCTACTTGCATCTGCAGGTAGCAATTTTACTTGTGATTAGCGAGGTTTGTGCATAGTAAGCATGTGATGCAGATGCTTACTTTGCAGTAAACTACACTACTGCACAGTTAAGCACCTTGTGTAGAGACTGAGGACAAAAGCAAACCATTGTTTTATCTTTCAGATATCACAGGGAATGATCAAGACCTCCCATTGTCTGTTGCTATTTTAATGATGACTGCTTCTTAGCTTATAATTACTGAGTGTTATAATCTAATCTTTTCACTGTTTTGGGAATGGATGGTGTATCCAGGTACCTTGGACCAGAGATGATAAACATGTATTTTGTCTTCCATACAGTTTCTGGAAGAAAAACTGTAAAGTTTTTATAGGGGAAAAACAAAAACAAGATGGAAACGTGTGTTATTTTTGACAACTTATCTTTTAAAAGTTTTCTTCATTATTTTATGAAAATGCCCAACATTTCAAAAAAGCCAGACATGAGAATGTCCTGATCAGAAAAAGTTCCCCTTTTTTTCCCTTAAAAATGAAGTTTCAATTAAAGCAATGTTGACCACCTTCACTTGACTTTCAGGACTTGTTGAATACTTGATGAATCCTCTGTGGCCTCTCTATATTTGAAGAACTAAGGTGATACCTAGTCAGTCACAAACTAATGGCTAACTCCCAAAATATTCTATCTGTCAAGCATTATATATACTTAAATTAGGTTTTAGCCAACAGTGCAGTGGGTTTGCAAATGCATGGATTATTCAGTATGCATTAATGTCAAGAATAACGTGGCAGAGAGCAGTTTTTAATAACCTGAGGGGCAAGGCAAATTGAGGTGTCTTCAGATGGCAAAATAAATTATCTCATCATTCAGTGGAAAGTGCAGTGTAATGAGTTTCTCCACTTTCAGTATTAAAGGGCATTTTCATGTTCTTATTTATTTGAAAAAGAATGACTTCCTAGGAATTAATGTATTTTCCCAAATCTAAGATGAACTTGAATTTAAGACGACCCTCAATAATTAGATTCTATATATGGAAAATGGATACATTTATTATAATTTTCCATGTATAAAATCTAATTATTGGGGGACTGTCTTAAATGTGTCCCCTCACTATTGCAGGTGGTGGTGGGGAAAATTGCTGAAGGGGGCAGTAATGGGGCAGGTAGCTGGGGGACAGACAGTGGGGGCAGGTGAGGGGCAATAATGGGGTGGGTAGTGGGATGGTGGGGGAAGCAGTAAGGGGGTAGGTGGTGGAGGAAGCAGCAGGGGCAGTAAGGGACAGGTGGTAGGGGGCAAATAGTGTGGAGGCAGTGGGGGAAGCATGCGGTTTGTCTCTTGATGTCCACTTAGCCCCCTTATGCCTACCCACCATAGCCTAAGTCCCTCTCCATGCTGCTTCTGCCCCCCTTAGTCTCAGGTCCCCAGCAGGCTCCATCCCCATTGCAGCCTGGGGCACTTAGCATGGCTCCAGCCTAGCCCAATAAGCAGGGCGAGGTGGGCAGGGGGTAGGGAGAAGCAGTGCACAGGAGAGACTGGGTGTGGCAGGAGCCCAAGGCTGCAGGGGAGGAGCGGCAGGGGGTGCAAAGGTAGCAGGGGTAAGGCAGCAACTGTCTCTCTGGTCCTGACCTGGGTTTGGGTTGGAGCTGGAGCCACAGCAGCTGCCTGCCCCCACATCCCCCTGCCACCTCATACTCGATTCTAAGATGATGGGCTTTCCTCCTCATGTTAAATGGTGAAAAAACAGTGTCTTTCATTTGAGTAAATATGGTAAATACATTTCTCCCCATATCATCTTTTATATTGGTATATCATCTTATGTGCAGGTTGAAGAGGTAAAAACTGCTCAGCTTTGTCTTGTGAGCATTTTTCTGGTTTTGATTAAACCACTCAGGTGGCAAAATTTTGGTTGAATTTTGATGAATAAGACATTTTGGGAGAAATTGTTAATGTGTATTATGTGCCCAAATATGTCAAGAACATACACTTCAGAGGGGGAGTGTTTTTCAGAACAATGTACATTGATTTTCTGTTTTCACAAACATTCCAAGAAACTTTCTCATATTTTGAGTGGATTAAAGTCAGATTTGTTTCAAAAAGCCTTATTTTAAAGTTTGTCAGCTGCCTCCAAACTGCAGTGTGGGTTTCGAGTCTAAATTCAATAGTCTGAAAAGATAACATTTGGTGTATTTCTTTAACCTTGCTCTGTTGATTGGATTTGCTTAATGGCTTTCATCAGGCGGCTTTTCAGATCATTCTTCCTAGCTAGAGTTTCATTAACACGCCAGGCTGTGTCTGCAACAGTTAAATCATTATCTGCAAGGAAAAAACAGAAGAAACAATTGGCCTCTATGGTTTTAAAGAGTGCTTAAAAATAGATAAAAGTTTTTCTATACTGAAAAGTTATATTGTATTTTCTACACTAGATACTACAGTGCTTTTCATGGCCTGTTTTAATATAATGCCTTCTAGCAATGTTGCCTTCAGGTAATCTAAATTGTCAAGCAATCTTCCAGCTGATGTCCACTGTTCACTGGGCAGAGCTCTTTCAGAAGAAACTGTAAGATGTTCCTCAGTCCACATCAAAGGTCACCTCTTAAAAAGAGCTCTGTGATCAAGAGCAGCCTTTAACAGCTACTAATGTATTACAGGATTACCTTCATGGCAAGCTTTTATGGACAGCATGACATCTTGAAATATATAAGCAGTAATTTCCATTGATCCTTTAAATCTTATTTTATTCCTACCAGATTTGTAGGGTCAAATCCTGCAAGCATTAACAAATGTATATGCTGAACTCAGAGAATCTATTCATACGAGTAAAGTTCTCCAGATGAATAAATAATTGCAGAATCAGGTGACTGATTTTTCAATAGTCGTATAATGTTCTCATTGTAAATAAAAGAAAATTTTTGGCATCTTGGCACCCTATTAGCTACTTAAACTATGCATTTGCCTCTTCTAATGCATTGGATTCTCACTTTGATCAATACACTGTTCTGTCAAAACAGCATTTCCTCCTTAATGATGTGCTTCTGAAATCCATTTTTATATGCAGAACTATTATAGTACTGAAAAGCAGCAAAACCAATAGAAAAATAATGTATATTTACTAGCATTGGCTGTTTCTTGTAGTTTCTTGACTTGACTGAGAAGCCTTTCGCTTTCATCTTTATGGTAGATGATCTGAGTGTCAATTCCAACTACAGCCTGCAGATTCATTTAAAAAAAGAGTTAGTGTCAGGCTAGATGAAATGTCTTTCTTTCTATGGTTGCATTTCTGGATGACATTGTATTTCATGTAGGCACAAACTACAAAATCATTGTAGCTTCATTTTCTCTGCTAAAGTAAAATGTTGGTGACTAAATGAAAAAAATGCATGAAATACAAATTTTCTGTAGATTTTAACTGAGATTTAAAAAAACATGTTTGCTCCAGACAGGTCAACTGAACAATCAGCTTGAAGAATAGTAGAAATGTCATCTATATTAGGCAATTCAAATATAACCTTAACAAGCAGGCGTGCTATTCAGAGCCTATCCTTCAAAAAAAAGAGGCTGCCATCCTCAGCTCCCCACCAACAGACTCAGAAAGGAGCAAACTATAGGTTAAATAGAAGGTGCCTAAGGACATGTCAATATGGTAAACTTTAGAGTGGTGTTACAAATTACCTTTAAACCATTCTAAAGGCACTTAAAACAGGAGTCCCCACACATTAAAGTATGATAAACTGTGCTAAATACTCTCTAAGGCCTCATCCACACCTTGGTTCCCAACAGACAACTAGCAGCGGTGCACCTTGTGACGGTGCTTGTTGTCCTTGGGGAACGCCTGTGCCACATGCCCTCTGATGCATGGCAGGTTGCCCTTGGTGGGGTAGGGGAGGCTGAGACCAGCACTATGCTGGCTCCATCAGCCTTACTTGGGGTTCTGGAGGCCTCCTGGGGCTACAGCAGCAGTGATCCTGTCACGCAGAACCTGGCTGGCAGCCAGAGCGTGACTCCAGCTAGCCAGGCTCTGGTTTTGAGCAGCACACACTGCTTTGATATATAGGGATCAAAACTCCTGCACTGCTCCCTTTCAGTGCAGAGAACAGCTGAACATGTGGTATGTGGCACCACAGATGTATCTGTGATGCCATATACTACATGGCCATGCTTGTCTGGATGTAGCCTAAGTGTCTTAAAGTTAAGCCACTTTGCATAAGGGTTATCTTTGAACCCTTCTACCTAGTGTTAGATGGTCCATGGAGATAAAGTGACCAATTTGTAGTCATCTAGCATCCCAGGATGTGCAGCTCCAAGCCCCTCCATCCTATCAAACTTTTCATCCTCCCAAGCTCTACTATCCAAGGTGGGGATACTGGCACCAAGCCAACACCCTCCTTCTCCCCCAGTGGGTATGAGCCCATCCCACATTGCACCATGCTACTGACTCTAAAAACTCCAGGAGACCTGAACCAGCCTTTAACAGGAAATCAAAGGCTCCTGTTACTAGACAGGGAAAAGCACATGGCTAGCTGGGCTGTGGAGATCAACAAGCAGCTGGAATTACACTAAGCTGCAATCGGGAGGAGAAATCTGCCCATCAGACCTAAAGAGGAACATCTGTGCCAGGGATAGACAGTCACCTGACCTAAAAGGAAGCACTCCAAGGCACTTAAAAGTCAGAGCCTGGAGAAAGGCAGGGGAGAAGGGCCAGTTCCTTACAAGGGATGGAGCTCTCAGGAGGGAGGGTGGCTTGAGAGACCCTAGCAGATGCAAAATGTGTTGAAGACACAGAGGAGAGAGCCTATGGAGGGATGGCTGGTCAAATATTTGTTTTACCCCAAGTGGATGGGGGATGTTTCATTTTAAAGTTATCACTTGCCTTGGACCAGGTGTGGCTGTAAAGAGTGAAGAGGAGGCACAGGGATGCCCAAGGGGCACTTGGGATTTTGGACCCTGCCAGGGGTCTGGGGCATAAGACACAGGTAGGCGGGAGCTGAGAGGGCCAAAGCTTGAACCAGGAAAGGCAATAGAGAAGGTTAAGGTTGAGGGCCAAGGCCAGAGCCTGAGGAGGGCCACTGGGGCCAGGAGCACAGAGTCCAGGAAGGGCAAGATAGGGCCTGGTGCCCAAGAGCCAAGGTAAAGTGCAGTGGATCTGGGTTAAAGGGAGGCACAGTCAGAAAATGGTGGCCAAGGCTGGAAAGCCAAAGCCCTGACAAAGTTTTTGAGTCCTGAAGGGTCAAACATTACATTTGGAGGTGAGTTACCCCATAGAAGTGATAACCCATGAATGACTGGTACCTCCTGGGGGGCACAATTTGTGGGTGGCAGTGTTGGTGGCATTAGCGGTGGGGTGGAGAGCAACAACTGCCCACAGACACTGGCAGCAGCGGTGGGGGTGGGGAGTGGTGAGTGGGTGCAAAAGCCGACAGTGGTATCAGCAGAGGGGGGAGCGTGTGGCGAGTGGTGACCACCCGCATAAGCTGGCAGTGTGTTAGCAGCCAATCTGAGGGGGGGCACGTGCCCCCCCCATGCCCTCCTATGCGTCGCCTATGTGATAACCTGTAATATTTGCGAGGCATGGGTATGGCTATGGGGGAAGACAGAGGCCATAAACACAGCCCATAAGGCACTTGGTTTCATAAGGCATCAGTAGGGCTGGGAGGGCCACAGTGGATTGGTTGAAGGCAAATAGAACTAGGACTAGACTCTCTCTGGACTCCCTAGAGCAGCCTCCCAACCTTTTTTGGGAACAACATCAAGGCATGGCAGTCTAACATTAAGGAATGGCACCCAGAGGGGTCACAGTGGGAAGGAATTATGTTCTCACCCAGGGGGCACCACAGCACCCCTGGACACAGGTCCTGTCACACAGACATTTGGGCAAGAGGCCAGACAAACAGCTCTCCTCTCATAGGCTAGGCCTTTGCCCCGTATCCAGGCAGTTCTCCTCTATCCAGGAGAATTGGGGGAGGGCATGCTTCCTTCTTCTGCCTCTTGTGTTCTTGATGGGGAAGTGGGAAAGGACTGCTTAGTGCCAAGTGTGGTCAGAGCACGGAGTCTGGGGAGGCAGGCTTCCTGCCTCCTGGCTCCTGACAATGCCTCTGCTCATCGTGCCTTCTAGTGGTTAGTCACAGTTGTGCAGCTCAGAGATGATATCAAGCCTTAATATGCAACTGCTCTGAAACTGTTCTAACTTTAACACCACCTAACATGCCACAGATTTAGAATGGTTTAAAGGTAACCTGTAACAGCATCCTTACTGTGCCCAGCAGCAGCATCCTGAAGCTGGACTATTTAGCCTGAATGGTCTCCAAAGAGAGAGTACAGAAGAGAAAGCCTCCATACTAGAAGACGAGGTTCTTTGGGTGAATCTGATATCTTTTATTAGACTAACTTAAATAGTTGGAAAAAAAAATCTTAGCAAGCTTTCAGGTTAAAAAACCCTTTGTCAGGCTGAGGAAGGGTCTGGAGTTGGTGTGTGCTCTTCCTGGATGGAATGAATAGTAAAGAAGCCAGAGGCTGGGCTGGTATGCATGTAAGACAAGTTCTGCCCAGCCTCTGGCTTCTTTACATTATTATCATTTGCTAAACAGCTTAACTAAATTGAGACACTAGAGATGAACAGATATCACCATATTCATTGCTTCTGAATTTCGTTCTGTTTCTTCAAATATATGTTATATAGACATTTTGGTGGTAAAAATGTCAGCTATTGAACAGCATCTATTAATATGACTACAGACCTACTGAATTCATGGCTGAAGTGGGTTGCATGGCAGCTCCTTTACTCTTGCAGCTTCCTGCACGTGTGTCCCATCCGTGTCCCCCCCTGCTGCTGATTGGCAGAGGATCCTTGCCACTCACTCCTGATCAGCAGGGAGGAGAAAACTGTGGTTTTAAATATGGCACTGTTTTTGCCTGCTGGCCAGTCAGCAGCAAATAACAGGACTACTAGGATCCCTCAGCCAATCAGCAGCAGAGGGACCTGCAAGATTAAAAGAGCTTCCATGCAGCCCACTTCTACCGTGAATTTGGTAGGTCTGTAAACATTACCCAGAAGTTGAGGAGAAGAAGTAAAGAATAACACTGTATCCTTTCGAAATTATGGGGGGAAGGGGAAATTGGGAGGGGGGGCGGGATTTAGTAACTAACCAGTTTATAATTTATTCAGGGAACAGGGATTAAAACCACATTCTTGCAAATAAGTGTGAAAGAAGCTTTAAGACTAAAACATGATTGATAACTGGGTTTTGCTTCCAAAGTCCTGTAATAGCATGTTGAGATCCCAACTCATTGCAGAGTACAAGTTAATATTCTGAAAATTACTTACATCACTGACCCGGTGTGTAGTGTTTAATGCCAGTAATGCAATTTCATCAGCTTCACTGATATAACTAGCAATATTTTCATAGGCATTAGAAGCATTTAATGCCCTTTGTACCAACCCATTTGTATCAATGTTGTGTAAATTCCTGTGAGAAAGATAGCAAATGGAAAATACAAAACAATTGCAAACTCTTATCTACTTTTGAAATCACAATACAGAATTGTAAACATAGGTAACACTTTGGCCCAAACAGTATTCTGACCTCTATGTCTGCCTCCTTACTTCAATCTGATTTCAATGAAACCAGAATTTAGGGACAGGACTGGATTTGGATGGGATTTGCAAAAGCACTCAGCTGTAGTCTGACTCTGCTTCCATGGTATCAATAGGAATTTTACCAATGGCTTAGCTGACAGCAGAGGCATGCAAATGCTGGCTTCTTTTTAAAAATCCTATTTTTTAATGACCGTTTCAAGGGGCATTTAATAATTGAGCAAGCTATCATCCTCTGTTCTTCTCCTGAGACTATATTGCGATATAGTAGGAAGATTTGTGTTTTCCAATAACTGAAAGCTATGTCTGTGGGACATACAACTCCAATATTATCAAGCCAGACCCATCAAAGGAGGGGGAGCAGATTGAAAGCAGTCCACTAGGCCTCCAGGATGGGACTGGGCAATGAGCCTAAACCTGTCCACATACAGAAGGTATTAAAATTCAAGAAGGCAGCCAGTCCAGAAACCAGCGTGACAGACAGGGATAGCCAAGCCTTATTCATGCAAGAAGTGATTTCTCTCAGAGCTCTTGTTTGGTTCAGAAAGGAACTTTAAAGCACCTTATCCTGACTTTTCAGGGTTAGAACCCAACCCAGTAAATACTTATACACATGTTCGACTCCACGAAAATGCCTAGTCCAATGTTTTGTTCTTGGTAATGAAATCAAGTACCCGTGTAAGCATTTGCAAGATCAGGCCTTATTACATCTTCAGATTGAGTGCTCTCATGAAATTTATGAAACATCTTGCAAACCCTACTTCAAAACTATATCAAATAAAATAGTGCCAAGAAAAGCAAGGCCACAAAACCAAAATGATTTGAAGGCAGAATAAATGTTTTAAAGGATTACATTTTCACTGCAGGATAATCTTTCCAATAAAAAGTACCTCATATTTCTATCTGCACAATCTATAAATATTTCCATTTGTTTTCTATTAAATTCCTAATGTCTTGAGCTCAATAAATCACTTTCTCAGGGGATGCAGTCTTTTGAAGTCTATCTATAAATGTTGACTTGTCGTGAGGCACTTCCCTTTAAATAAATTTACTCGCATTAATTAGCTGATCTCAAACCTAACATGCTAATTTTTTTGGCAGTCATTTGCTATAGATTATGTAAAATCATAGAATATATAGTTTTAAGTGTCTTCTTTGTATTGTTTTATAGTAAAGAAAATGAAAGTTTTTTGTATAACTTTTTCTATAGTTTCAACTCCCAATCAGGGCTTAAATATAATAAAGAATGACCATTAACATTTATTTAGATATTTGATGGACAGTTAAGGTTTGATCTTGCAAACATTTATGCATATAAATCATTTTATTTAATTACTAAAGGTAGAGTTTGGTGAAGTGCTTTTTGTAAGGATTCTCTTACAGTAATACTTTTTAGATGAAGTCATGACTGTAAATAAGGCCATAATTCAAGTCCATCTAAAGATGACTTCTTAGCAAAGTAGGAAAAGTTTCAATTTTATCTTCCTTAGAAGAGAAAGACCTAGAACATCTTTTATGTACTCAAATGGACCAATTTCACATTCTCATGCACATCTAGGTATTTGAATTATTCCACATGTAGTACATTGCCTAAAAACTGCAACAGACCCACTTTTCATTATAGTCTATTGAACATTTTTAATATGAAGCATCTTATTCATAAAAGCTGTTTTTGCAAGTCCCACTTATATTTCCCAGTCCCACTTATATTTCCCATGTTATTTTGAGACTATGAAGGAAAAAAACTAAGAAATGAATCAAGAAAGAAGGGAAAATTATAAAAAAAAATGTTTTTTGAATTTTTTCTTTTTCTATAAAATTAAAAAAATGTGACCAGCTCCTAAGGCATTTGGTAATTCCTGGGATATAATACCTCATAGGAATTAGTAAATGTTTATTAACCGACAGTACATATAAAGTCACTATATTTTTGCTTATCTGTTTTCCACCTGTCTGTGTCACCAGTAGCTCTTGAATCATTACAATACAGTCTGATGTAGTTAAATATTACCAGTCCAACTCATTAGCAAGTTCCTGAAGCTCCTGTGCATAATCCATAGCCCGTTGTACCAAATTGTCATCAAATTGAGACAGATTGGCTAATTTTTCTTGTAATTCCTTTTTAGCGCCATCTATTTCTGCATAGAATCCAGATGCATTCTAAACACAATAAGGAAGAAAAAGAATACACTGAAAGCAGCAACAAAAATATCCGTCAACTCTTAGCAGTGCGGTTTTCATATGTTAATTTTAGCTTATAGATTAAGTATTACATTTTATGTTAATTTTAAAAAGAGGCAAGAGATGAAAGTGGGTGAAATACAGATTGTAATAAAGTGGTGGAACTGAATGGGAAGAGTGGG